TGAAATCTCGATTATCACTTTATCATGCGAGAGTATAAAATGTTCGGTGACACCCGAACTTAGTCCTTCCTTACTTGTTCTACTTTTAATTTTGAGCTGCGTTCTCTTGGCTCTAATATGTTTACACCAACTAAGCCGTTTATCTAAATGTAATTCGAGATTTTTACACAATTGGATTTTGGAATTAAAATATTATTAAGACTCACACCAGGGCACTCTTCCTTCCTCAATGTGAAAGTTATGTGAGTTGATGCAGCATTTACAGAGATGTTCCAGTTGCGAAGCCAATATTGTTTTTCATTTAGGTGTGCTTGTGCAGTTTCAGCAGCTTCGCTAGCCGAGTAGGCAGATGAGAGTACAGCAATGTCATTACTATTAAAAAGCAAGACCAAAAATAATAGACATTTTTTCGAAAAGTCTTTGATTGTCCAAGCGTCGATGTTATCATGACCTGGAGACTTTGAATTTTTCAAACGCGATATTTCAATTGGACCTTTGAGAGTCTTACGTATGTAAGAGGCTTATCCATTGGACATGGGCAATCAATGTATGATTCGACGTCCTCACGATGGCTGGTGCTACTGAGGTTAAATGGCTGAAATATATCTTTAAGATGGTTGGCAAAAGCGTGTGCTTTGCTTATGTTTGATCTGCACCAAGTATTGTTAATATCTTTAACCGGAACCTGTCTTATTGTTGGCCGTTTTAAGTATTTGGTGGCTTTCCATATGTTATATTCGTTGTTGTTGTTTGGATCAATTTTTTTGAGATATTCTCCAATCAATACCTCGTTAAGTTCAGCTAAACTAGTTTTAAGCTCCTTAGTTGCTTTATTGAGGGCTTTTTTGTAATTCGGATTCCTGCTGTTGTGCCATATCCTTCGAAGTCGCCTCTTGTTCTTAACCAGTTTAGATATTTCATCAGAATATGGTTGTCTACTTCTATGTGTTCGAGAAGTTATAGTATTACAATAGTTGGTTGAGCTAAGAAGGCGGCTTCGTGTATTTTGTTAGTAAAAATCTCTACTGCATCATCTAAATCCCTAGTTGAATTTATCTCCATGTTGAGATTTATTTTGGTTTCAAGTCGAGATTGAAAGAGTTTAATATTGGATCTTTTATTTAATATATGCTGTTTCTGAGCAGTAAGTAAAGCAGCAAATTAAAATGAATAATTAAAGCGGAATGGTCTGAAATAAGATCGTAATGATTTATTATTTCGACTAGGTTAGCGTCAATTCCAGAATAAACAGCAAAATCAATCAAATCAGGAGTCTTGCTGGGATCTGTGGGCCAGTAAGTGGGATAACCAGTAGAAAGAACATTTAAATTTGTTTCCATAAAGCATTTGTAAAGCTTGCGGCCTTTGGGATTAGTAAGACGAGACCCCCACCATGGATATTGAAATCTACTGCCCGGTTTGTTAAAAAAATTAGTAAATGACTGTTTACTTATGTTGAAACGCGAAGGTAGATATGGTGCGGCTATAGCAATCCCTCCATTAACCCTTGTGACTTCAACGAACGCAGCTTGAACTGAAGGCAACGATATTGGTTCTAATATCTTATATTTTAAAGTTGACTTAACTATAATTGCAGATCCGCCATGTGCTTTACCATCAGGATGGTTGCAAGTAATAATATCGTAACCATTTATTTTAAAAGAGGACTTGTTAGTGAAATGAGTTTCTGAGATCATGAGAATGTCTATGTTGTTAGTTACAATAAAATGTTCGACTTCTAATCTATGGTTACTAAGTCCATTGGCATTGCATATTGCCATCTTAAGGCTTAATTGCATAATTTTGAAACAAGAGAAGACATTGATCATTGATATTCACGTTGAGGTTAGTTCAATTTGTTTGGAAATTAGCGCTTCTAGCTTCTCGAAATTGCTGTGGCTATGTGCAGCAGTGTTTTGTTGTCCTTTGTAGTTGGCAGTGTGATTTTGCAAGCAGTGTACGCATTTTGGTGGACTACCAGGGTCTTTTTCGCAAAGAGCAGTCTGGTGGTCCAGACTGAACTTAACACATCTGTATGGCTTTCTACAGTATCGCTTAGTATGTCCAAACTCTTGACAGCGATGACACTGAACTAAATCATAAAATTTGCGGGGAGGTTCGATTTTGACTACCGCGCTACATAATCGATTAATCTCAAATACACTTTTGTTGTTTGCCGACGGCTCTAAGTCAGCAAAAAATAATGACATTGGCATCTTTGTAACTTTACTTTTTTGCGTTAACAATGTTTCTCACAATATGACCTTTTTAGAGATAAGTCAAGTATAATGTCGTCTATGGGTGTGGAATAGTGGATATTTTTTATAACAATTTTATAAGGCTTCTCCTCTTTTAATTGATACGTGTGAAATATTATATTATTTGAGTCTAAGTACGTTACAAGTTTTCTATAAGAGTCACTGTTCGCAGGCATGACTCTGGCTTGTCCGTCTCTGCCGGAAAAATTTTCTCTACCAATTAAAGCTGAGAAATTTACTATCATTTTATTTATATTGTTTACTTGTGGTATGAAAATCGGTGGTGGTTTGAAAACACTTGTAGTTGTCTCTGCGTTTTGCTCATTATTCTCATCAATGGCATTGTTATTATCACTTTGTGTGTTTGTGTCTAAGATTGCAAACCGGCTTGATGTGTTTGGAGTATTCTTCGGCTTTAGTTGTTTTTTCATTACATTTGGGGATTCAATAGTTTTACGTTTCGTTGCTTTGGGCTGGTACGCGTTTTGCCAGCCTCCACTGTTATCAAACATACCGACGTTTACAACGTCCTCACAGTTTTAATTTGAAGTCGATCGGTAAATTTCTCGTTGAGTTATGATGTCAGCAATTTTGAAAAATGTTGTTTCGAGAAAAACGCGTTTAAAGTTTCACTTATATATGTTTGCACCTCCGAGCGATCGCTCTTAATCGCGCTGCCATCCAAAAACTATTCAAGATACGACCTTACCGATTTCACAGGATATTTATGGAAACATAAGCTATCGAAAAAGCAAATAAAAACAAGTAAGGAAGGGCTAAGTTCGGGTGTCACCGAACATTTTATACTCTCGCATAATAAAGTGATAATCGAGATTTCAGGCGTGGTTGTGAACCGTGGTTGTGGTTTTTTGTTAGTCGGTTAACGCACTTTTACTGATTTTCAACATAACCTTTGTATGGGAGGATATTTGCAGACAAAAAGAGAGAGAGGCCGAAATGCGTGAGTATAAAGATCTTGGCAAGATGGCCGACAGGGGTAATGCTCGAAAAATCTAAGAAAATATGCGGCGACAGAAGGTTTCAAGACCAGAGCATACTTTTGTAGAACACCCAGTGGACATTAGTAACCGATGCCCAAAGCATACTATAATTATG